AAATGTTTTTTTCGGATTTAGCCCCAGGCTAAATTTTTTCGATATCAAGTTTTTGTTCAGGAAGTTGTTTGCTTGATCTATGGTTCTATGTAGTATGATGTGCTGATTTCGAATATGGTATTGGTTTTGATTTAGAAAGGCTTGGTAGTGAGAAAAATAGAAAATTCCGTACCGAAATTCCAGAACGTATTTTATGTTACTACCATAGATATAAGGTATGCAGGGGAATATTCTATGAAAGTTTGAGTCAGTTTAGAAGTGGGGGAAAATGAAGGTCGGTCATTATACTGACCACAACACTTCATAAACATTGTTAAACAGCTAACTTCATAAACAGCTAAGAAACTAAACTTTTTCTTCAGAGATTTATGTCAAAAACAAAATTTTTTTTGTCAATCGATAACCGAAGGTTGGTTGCTACTAGATATGTTACAAACCCAAACTCAACCAAAGAATTGGGTTTGAGTTTGACTCAGAGTTGGATTTGGTATTGTGTTGGACTTGGGTTAATAAGAGTCTAGCAAGATGCTTTATCTCATGGTAGTTCATGTGAAAACAGAATATGACGTGTTTTGTTTCGTTCTTTGGATATATGTGTACAAGACGGTAACGATAAGAACTTTTTTTAAAAGGTGTCTAATTAGGTGTCTAATTAGATGTCTAAAACAGTTGAGTTCTTTTATGCTATTTGTTTTGCGAATATCATCGCTATTTTTCAGTGTCTTAAATACATGTACAGAACAGATTTCAGCTGACAGTACTTTCCCAAATTAAAAAGTCTTTATAAAAAGAATAGATTTTTGTTAGGGAAAATAAGGTTATTGAGAAGAAAGAGACAAATGAAACGTATGGAAGAAAGTCGTCAAGTTACTACTGATAAGTTGCACTTGAAATAGAAGAAGAAGAATGGTCTTTTGACAACTGACCAAGGGCAAACCCAATACCTAAGTCTATACACCCAAGTGGCTTGGGTTTGGGTTTGTAACATACCTAGTTGCTACTTTCATATTCTGATTGACTTTTAGTTTCATATTTACAAAATTTTATTTAAAAGTGAACCGACTAGGCAGATTGCTCATTAGAGTCGGCGAGTTTAACAAGGCCGAACAAGTATAGCGGATACAACTCGAACGGGGAGCCAATGAAGATGAGAAAGTGCCCTATTGCAGTCAGTTTGGACAGATTAAGTGTCACCAAGGTGACTACATTGAAGCGATCTCGTTTGGCGAAACGTCACTTGAAATCCAGGAGAAGAAGCTCGTTTTCAAACATTCATATTTGGCTCGAGACCACCACAACATTGGTTTGGTGTATGACAACATGGGTGAGTACTTGAAAGCACTTTCATACTACAAAAAAAGACCATGAAACTAGTCAAAAATCTCTCCGTTTAAATCATCCCGATTTGGCGACTACATACAGCAATATGGAAAAATTATGTCTCAAGGTGGACGAGTGCTCAAAAGCACTTGTATATTTTGAAAAAGCACTTGAAATCCGCCAAAAAATCTCTCCCACCAAATTATCCCAATTTTATTCAGTCCTACACCAATATCGGTTTAGCGTATCAAAAGAGAAGCAAATAAAGCACTTTCGACTTACGAAACGCACTCGAAATCGATCAAAACATTTCCCTGCAAATCATCCTAATTTGGCGAGTTACAACCGAAATTTACCACTTAGCTTCAGCTGAAAGAGTTTCAACCATGGGACACCTTGATAAGAAGCTTTGTTTAACTAGTTACAACTGTTAGGATGCATTCTCGTTTCCGTTACTTGTATGTCTGTCCATTCTGTCATGATCGACATCGCAGTAAATAAAATCTCTCTAACTTTTCGGAAACTTTTTAAATTTCTCCTAAACTACACTTAAACTGGAAACTCTAACAACGTCATAGTATAGAAAAAACATTTCTCTATTTTTGAAACCAACCCGAAATCTCTAGCTCAAAAAATGATGGAGATAGCTTCTAAGTACGAAACGTTGTAGTCACAAAAAGAGATTTTGGGAAAAATGTGAAACAAGTTTACGAATTGAAAAACGACGAAGGAAAGAAATATAATAAATTAGTTTATCATAGGTTTTTGCGTATGCTGAATCCAATGAGCGTATGCGGAGATATGTGCGACATGTATTTTTGCATACGCTCATTGGATTCAGCATACGCACATTTTACTATTTAGACTGGTGGAAATCCCATTTCTCAGCAGAACAGCCCTTTTGTGGGCATTTTCACCATTTTCGAGTGGAACCCTTTCATGAGCTGGTACCGTCAGATTTGATTCTGTGTGTGCAGGGGTACAAAATCACTAGCGGCCTTTAGAAAATAATGGCTCTATCTCTTTTCGTTCATGAGTTAACGATTTTTAAACGAAAGCTTTTCTGGAATTGTTATTCCTAACTTCTCCGTACACTCCGGTGGAACCTAGTTATAGAATAATAACTAGAATACAGTGTCTGTCGACATTGCAACTTGTTTCTTTATGCATGGCCATCTTTTTTACCACCAGTACCAGCCCATGAAAGTTTCAAGAGAAGCGCTTTCAAAGAATCACTCTAATGAAAATACAAGAGATAAAGTGAAAACTATGAATCGATAACTTCGCCACTGAAAAACCATATTATGTTCTTGTGATAAAATACGATAAATTCTTGTGAAAAAAAGCGTTTGGTCATTCGACAGAACTGATCCCATCTCTGACACACATACGCTGCATCAACAAAAATTGACGTATTAGCTAGTTCATTTTATTAGAAAAAGTGAAAACAATACAATAAACAGCACAAAACAATGTTAGTTAAGTGGATTAATTAAGTTACCTAATTCTGTGTCTATATGTGCCTTTTTTGATTAATGACATTTTTCATTTTTTTCATTTTTCAATTGGTTCATGAATGTCGACCATAGGCAGTGATTCATCAGTTAAACTATTATCTTCTAAAATGAGATAGGAGAGTGATAAATAAATAATTCATAGAAATTAAAATTTACTACAAACTATAAGACTATGAATTTGATTACAGATAAAATACATTTAACACTATTTCACATGATGATTAAAACAATTTTTCTGCTAATAGAGACATTTTCATGACAATCTCACTAAAGTGCATCTTCTTAGTTAGGTAAACTTTGAAATATATACAAATTTAAACTTTAAACATACTTTTGTGTAATTTAAATGATGGCGACTTCTTAAATATTGGTACAATGTCGAGTGCGTCTGCTTTTTTACATGTATTATGTTCAGTGTCACATGTGTAACCATGTGGACAACAGTGAAGATGATCGCCTAAGAAACAAAGTGTATTAAACTAGAAAAAACAACAACTTGAAATCTGATTACTTACTGCAACAAACAGCATCCGCTAATGGACAACATCCATACTGACCAGTTGATAACTGACAACACGTTTGACCTAAAGTGGAAGAAATGAATCTTTTCACTTTCAGATATAATTTCAATATTTTATTTCAAACAAATAGTTAAATTCTTCAATGGTACGAATGACTTTCAGCGATACACTACTATTTACACATTTCTTACCATCTGGACAATATGATTGACCTAGAAATAACGAAAACGTTGTTAATCAAATGAACGTGAATTTAATTTGATTCTTACCATCAGGACATTGAACTGAGTTGGATTCTACTGCTTGAGTTGTGTGAATGAAAAATAATAATAATGCCAATGAATAGAACATGACTGTTTAATAAATACTCTAGAGTGACCAAATAGTGTGACTTGTCTCTTTTCTGCTATGAGACACGACAATATTTTACATATATAAGTAGAAGTGAAAAAGATGATAACAGAGATAACAGGATGAGTGAGAAGAAAAAGAGAAAACCAAAACGAAATAATATTTAGGTCATTTTTCAAGTTTTTATTTGACACATAATCTGGTTATAGCAATACGACTTTTTATTAATTTATTTTTCCTACACGAATGAATATTTGGTTTATAAAATATAATTCAGCGCTCGACAGAGCTGGGCAAGTCACGAGTTTTCCAAGTCATAAGTCAAGTCAAGTCACCAAAAATTTTCTCAAGTCAAGTTGAGTCAAGTTTCGGGTTTATTTTGAGATCAAATGCCAGTTATATGTCAAACCATAATTGAGAGGTACATGGGCGAACTTAGAGAAGTCTGAGATTGAAGCTACTTTAAAAAATAACAATCAACATTTTTCTGAAAGTTTAAAAAACTGTAAACATAGTTTCTATGACAAGTGGAGAGCGTTTTTACAGATAGAATTGCTGTGTACTTATTTTAAGGTCAACCTCGAAGCGAGTCTGAGGTGAATAACTCACCCTGATTGCATTAGGTTCTGGAAGAGAAAACCGGATAAAACATGGTTATTTCAGTATATCTATTACCTTAAGAAACACTTTATTTTGAGAGATCTTGAATCAAAAGTTTTTCAATCAAGAAATCAAGATCCTGTTCTTGAGCGAATCATGATACTGGCCAGAAAACAAGATACTGGTCTCGAATAAAACAGGTTCCTGACCAGGATATCAGCTATGGGTCTTGAATTCTTATCCTGTCCTTGAAAAAGTCAGTATACTGGTCCGGAAACCAATGACCTGTTCTTATCACATTCCAGTAATCTGACCAGGTCATCTGATCTTTCACTAGGGATGCAAAAAAGTAGAATCTAAACGTATGGTCTGGTACCTCGAAGTGTCGTCTTTCTTTTCATGTATCAGAGATTGGCTCTGAACGTGTCTTTCTGATACAAAAGGCTATTTTACTACAGTCTACCAAAAACAGGGAAATTTTCGACCTGTTCGCCTTTTCAGTGGAAAGGAAATGGAGCTATCGAACTTTTTCTGTTTGGATGTAACAGAAGAATTATTTTTCTTTAAGATAAGGCATATTAGACATCAAATTATTTGATTTTGGCTGATTTGTAAAAATTTTCGAGAAATCGATCACTTAGGCCAACTTGATAAGAGTAGTTGTTGTTGTTTGTGCTCATTAGGTACGAATATATGTCATGATAATACATATTTCTCATTCTATTTTGAAAAATAACAATTGAATTGTTCATTGAATGAAAAATGACTAATATACTAAATATTATTTGTTTGGTTTTTTCTTTTTCTTCTCTCCCATCCTGTTATCTCTGTTATCATCTTATTCACTTCTACTTATATATGTAAAAAATATTGACAAACCACACTAAACTTACATATAGTATGACTTTTCTATATGAATTGATAACCACTTATGTCTTGCTGTAATTAACGAGTCAGTTTTTATACTCAACTTGATACGAGTATTTATTGTTATTGTTGTTGTTTATGCTCATTAGGAGCCATTGCATGAGAGAAACAACAAGTCATGCTCAATCGATGTCTCAGATTTGCTTCTAATTGGTCCTATCTTGTTCAACGTGTGTGAAAATCTATAAATCCAAATTTTGAGCCTTCTAGGACTTTTATTTTCTGAGTTTTTGACAATTTTCTAGAGCCCACTCGATGGAAAACTCAGCGTCTAAAATTGGAGAGCAAAAATAAAGATTCTGTTTCTCTGCCAACACAAGTGGAAGAGGGATTTTTCGTCCTATGTAGCCCATTGCACAGTCTATCCGATAATGCGATCAGATCGTTTTTATCCCGGACCTTCAGCCCGACACCCAAGGTCTTCTGAGGATCTTAGGGGTTTATATTGTTTGACGCCGTTCTCGAGCGTATGGTTTAAGTATAAAACGAGATGTACTTTTTCATAAACATTCAAGTGTGGACTATCCGAATCCGGTCTCAACAGCTTGGTGTCTTATAACGATCTCTGGAAAAGTTTTGAGGATTTCTAGAAATCCTTAAGTTTACCAAAAGGTCTTTAAATTACATAATTGAAAAGAGCACAAAATTCTGAACAAAATGAGATATCATGTTTTCTAAGCCATAAATTCGACAACCTAAAAATTAAGTTTTTATGCTAAATAGTATAGACATAGAATCCAACTCAGTTTAATGTCCTGATGGTAAGAATCAAATTAAATTCAAGTGCATTTGATTAACAACGTTTTCGTTATTTCTAGGTTAATCATATTGTCCAAATGGTAAGAAATGTGTAAATAGTAGTGTATCGATGAAATTCATTCTTACTAGGGGTGGGACAGTTCCAGTTTCTATTGTTTCTAGTAACTGGTTAAAAGAACTGGTGACCAGTTACCGTTACTAGTAACTGGAACTGGTTGACCAGTTACCGTTCCCAGTAACTGGAACTGGTGACCACTTNGGTGGCCACTTACCATTTTCTTCATAATCAAGATGTAGAAAAGTTTATGCTCATCTATCTTGTTTTTTATACTGTAGTAAACTCATCTAGCTGAGTTCGCACAGACAATACGGCCATGTTTTCCACAGAAACAATACACTATTGCAAATACAATATAGGAAATCTCTATTCTACAGCCTTTAATGTGAGTGTTCCTATACTATGGGAAGCGCCTTTAACTGTTTAAAGAAATTATAGAGCAACAAACATCCACTTGGAGATCTAAAATTATGGTGATTTGAAGGAACAGTAACTGGGTACCAGTTCCAGTTACTGGGAATGGTAGTTGGTCAATCAGGTCCAGTTACTAGTAACGGTAACTGGTCAGCAGTTTCAGTTACTAGCAACGGGAACTGTCCCACGCCTAATTCTTACCATTGCAGAATTTAACTATTTGTTTGAAATAAAATATTGAAATTATATCTGAAAGTGAAAAGATTCATTTCTTCCACTTTAGGTCAAACGTGTTGTCAATTATCAACTGGTCAGTATGGATGTTGTCCATTAGCGGATGCTGTTTGTTGCAGTAAGTAATCCGACTTCAACTTGTTGTTTTTTCCGAAATTTTAAACTTGGCCACATCTAAAGTATTTTCGAATGACGATTTTCTGCAGTACTGACTAATCTGTTGCTAAAAGCATTTTAATTAATCGCATTTTACGATTAAATACACTCTCAAGATTTGTACGGTTAATTTTGCATTATATTTTAAACTGAAAAAAATAGAAAATTTTCTGAGAAGTATGTTAAAAATCCCTCGTTTGCCTCATTTTAGAAGATTATTGATAAATAACTATCCATGTTTTTCTTCACTAAAGTAAGCAAGTAAGAAAGTAAGTATACCTAGGTACCTTTCGGTGCAGGGTGAAATAGAAAAAACAAAAATAAAAAGGTTAAGTGTTCTTTGGCCTCTGGAGCTGTTCGTTCACATCGTGCTATCAATTCAAGGTGATTGATTAGACCACCATATTTCAGATGTATCTGGCTTAGATTGTGATTATCATTTCACCAAGAGTGATAGTTAGAATTTGTTTTCATTTCACTTTTTCAGTATGCACACGCTCTAACATGACCGGTTATTCCGTGAAGTTTAAACTTCTTTTGACAATTGGGACATTCGTCACTGTTGTTAGAGTCTTTCACGAACACTTTAATCATCTTTCAATGAGCAGCTCTATGTAGAATGGCTAGTACCGGAGTCAAAAAGCAGTAC